TAGAAACAAATCCTGTTTTCTTATAAGAATAACTGCAACTGAAGCCACAGTTAGGCACGGGAAACTATCAAGTGACGTATGTTGATAGACAATTCATTGTGGATGGCTAATAGAAGTATATGTATCTCTCTCCACAGTATGATATCTGTATGAAACTATTATGCCTGAATCAGTTGCTTGCTTTTGGCCTTGTACTTGACTTCAACTCGGTTACGTTTACTTAAGGCGTGGCGAAAGCTGCTCTATAAAGGAGAACAGGGATAGTGCCAGGCTGTCTGTCACTCTGTTGGTGTTGGCTGGAGAGTTACACCGGAGGCATTGCAGGTAAAACATCACTTTGCTGTTTTACTTAGTACAAGATGAAGCAGGTGAAATACAAGCAATAGTGCTGGAAAAGCACCACAGACACATTGAGAGGGATTTGTCTTGGGGAGACAGAATAAATTAGAGTCCCCGTCCTTAATGTTACCTGGAGGGAAAGAAAAGATGAATTTTCCATCCTTAGAAAGAGCTTTACAGTAAAACGGTAAGTTGTCAGAAGTAATTGGATCAAGTGGGAGTGGAGATCCTAAGAGGACGAGGACTCTATAGTTACTGTATGCTGCTGTTAAATGAGGTAGAAAAAAGGTATCTGGAACTGTCCTATGTTATGTATGCAAAATGAGGAGAAAATGGACTTAATAAATAGCCAGAAGGGAGTACTTCACAGACTGTTTGGAGCAGAAGGTCATGCAAGATGCCACTGGGAAAGTAATCTCCTGGAGAGTTGCCCAAGTGCCTGGCTTTGGTTTTGATTTTCTGAGGTACTCCAGGCTTTCTCACATTGTATGTACAAGGAGCTGTTGTCTATCTGGGGTTTGGGACGCCCAAGTTCAGGTCCCTGCTCTGTCTCTGCAGTTTGCTGTCGCTGTGGGCAAGCTGCTGAAAAGCAGCACTCTCATTTGTTTTTTCTCTGCAAGGAGAGCTAATAAACTCATGCTTTCCTTCATTATAAGACAATTCTGGAACTGACTCCCCGAAGTTTTTGCAGTGCTCCAAATACATGAATGACAGGATCTTAGAGGGAATGAGTGCTTGCATAACTGTTGCATATATTGAATGTTATGGGTGAGATGAAATGTACATTCGTAGTTTGGAGTGTTTGAGAGGGAACAGGGGAAGAAGGGCTGCTGACTTTTTGGGTTTTCTGGTATTCTTTGTAGTGTTTGAGAAAATTCAGCTGCTCTTCCTAAAGTACAGAAACCCAGCTAAGCCAACATATAATGGAAATGTTTTGAGAAAGTCGGTGGAGAAGAGAAGGTGGATAGTTCAGCTATGAAGTAGACACATGTTTCTAATTGCCTATTTCCACTTTCTACTCAACAAAAAATATCAGAAGCCATTGAAGGAAATTATGTCTGTACTCTGACATAAATCTTTATGCAAAGTGTAATTAGCTGTCAGTAGCATTTGCCACCACTGAGTACCTGATTATAATAGTTGCTTGACATCTTCCATGAATGAGTGCTGGAGGGAGACAAGACACACCCTTTGCTGCTGGCTTTTAAGCTGTTTAATGCAGAAAATGGTGGGTGCTTGGGGTTCCCAGGATAGTTTTTACAGGGGTCACCAAAATTTTTGTTCTGATATCCTCAAAGACTCCCCTTTCCTTCCTGTCCCTTCCGACTGTCACACCTGATCTCTTTTTCTCCTTTGCTCTGTAGCTTTTCCACTGCTCCCCTTCCCTCCCTCACCCTTTGTCACTTGGCCGTCCCTCTGAGACAGACAGCAGGAAGGATCTCTCTCTGCTGAGAAGGAAGAGGGACCAAAAAAGAGCAGTAGATGCAAAATTGGGCGTGATTCCTTTCTCCATTTCAGATAAATAAATGTGTTGGAGGAGATCCCAGGACTAAGTAAATGTATGTTTAACCCCTTCTGAATAATAATTTCCTTCCTTAGCTGAGACCCAGTCTCTTGTTTTTCTCCAGTGTTTCACAATACGTCTGAATCAGCTTTTGTGAGTGTTTGAAATCCCTCCCTCTCTCCCTACATCTTGTGGCAGGGAACAGTCCAAGGGCAACACCTCTGAGACGCATTGCATTATAACTTTGTCCCTTTAAACTCTTTCTGCCTCAAAGTTCAGTAATGGTAAGAAGCTCCCCAATCAGGCAGGCAATATTCTGCTTTAAAAGCTGTTGTGGTCTTTGCTGTTGCTGATGCACCCGTGAAAGCCAACCTGTGGCCAGGGCTCAGGATGCTGCTCCGAAAGAGGAGGCCAGCAGAGCGTGCTGGTGCGGACAATGCGGTGCTAGCCAGGTGTGTGTGACCCCGTGGGCTGCCTGCTCAGAGGCATGGACGGATGTAGAACTCGCGTACCTGTGCATGTCTGCCCGCAGACACAATGCTGAAGAAGTTATTCCTGCAAGGGAAAAGTAGTTAAGTGTATTATTTTCTTCAGTCTGGTTGCTAATTTATTCCGGATATGTTAAACAACGTAATTAAACACACTCACACACATGCTAAAAACTCTTGTTCACTGTCAGAAGAGAGGGAACGCATGTCAGACCCAGTCTTCAAGCTCTGTTAGTTTTAATTTGAGTTTTGGAATTAGTAATCAGTTTTGCTGGAACACTGTTGCAAGAAATAGATCTTAGCATGCATGGGGCCTGGGCACAGTTTCAAATGAATATTTGTTAAGAAGACGACATTCCCTTGTCGTGTTATGGTACATTACATGAGATTTATTTCCATTGTATTAAAAAATGCAAGCCCAAGGGGAATGTTCTCTCTTCTTGTTGGCTGAGGGTAATTTCTGAATTCCATCTGATTTTTTTTGTGGGGCTTTTAATTAAAACAAGGAGATGCAAACCCCCTTATTTTTCTAGGCTGTTGTTACAATGCCAGGAGGCCAAGTGACTTGAAGCACCAAGAAAGGTGATGACACTAAGTAAAAAGTGTGTATGTGGGGGGGGAGGTATTACACCTTCAGTGTGGCTGGTCTGTGTTTTTCACATATGTGAATGATTCACAATAAAAATCTGAGGCTTTGCTCTTACTGGAGCCATTTGCTCTCCTTGTACCATATCAGGAACATATCAGATCTACAGATAAGTTTGTTTGGTAGGAAAAGAGCCCTTTCACATACTTTTAAAAAAAAAAAAAAAAAAAAAAAAAAAAAAAAAAAAAAAAAAAAAAGGTGATGGCATCTGGTGGCTTGAAACTGAAACTAAGTGACTTTAGGCTAGCAATTAGCACAGTGAAGTTAATTAACTATTGGAGTGGCTTGCCCGGGGCACGTGGTGGATTTTCCAGTGCTAATTTATGAGAGGGTACATCTTAAGTGGAAGCCAGGAGCTAGGGGCAGGAATCGCTGGATCAAGTGCAGTGGCACATCATGCAAGAAGCCAGAGGAGGTGATCACAGTGATCCTTCCTGACCTTAAAAGTCTGCTAAGGCAGGGCTTCACCAGGGGCTTCTCTTTTCATAAGGAGAGGGACAAAAGGGGAATTATAGCTCAGGACAGTTAAAGTTTTGGTTTTGTGAGGGCAAGTGCAAATGAAGGGTGAAAGCTGGTGTGGATCTCAAGTTATATTTTGACCCAGCAACATGTAATTTTGCATGACAAAAGGTGCTGGAGGAACCAGGAGGCAAGGCAGGCTAAACAGCCTTCCTGCTACTTCTCTGAACTTGGAACTCCAGAACAGAGGTGTTTAGCTGAAGGAAGATCCCCAGGAGATGATGCACACGTGTTTGTCTCTCTGTACATCCATGTGGCTCTGGAGAGTGCACCTGAAAGCCCTTACTCTGGTTAGACAGAACAAATTGCTCTTTTAAAGCTCTGGTGCCACTGCCTGTCCAAACATGCAAGTTTTCTGCCTTCCTGTGCCCTTCTACTCGTGTCCCAGAAGCCCTCCCACCCCACAGTCCGGCACCTCCATGGATGATGCACTGCCTCCCTTTGGAACAAAAGTAGATCTTTGAGGGCGTGAGTCCTGCTGTGCTCTTTGAGTACAACAGGAGATTTTCACAACGGGAGATTTTATCTCCTGCATCCTTCCCTAGCTGTGCCAGCAAATATATTAGCAGGTGTTCACTTTTCCTAAGTGAATTGCCCCTTTCCTTTAGACACACTCACAAAGAGGGATTTGAACATGCTCCAGACTGGAATAGCTACAGATGCCACGCAATGACTGCCCAGTTTAAATATGAATCTACATTTCAGGTCTGTTTAAACACTGGCCTCCGAATGAACTACTGAGTTAAAAAACCCCAGACCTTGGTGCGCTCTCGTGTGAGCAAGTAGTGCAGGTGGGATCCAGGTCTGGATGTTGCAGCTTGGTCCCATCTCAGCACTGTAGCTTTAGGGAGTCTGGTGGAGCGTCTGTGTAAGCTGGTAGGAAGCTACCCCCTAATCTAGCAGGGGTCTTTGGAGCAGGTCCCAAGGAAAGGCAAGTTATCTGCCTTCTTTAGGTATCACAGGGAGTGACCATCAAGCGCTCACTTGTGGAAATGAAATAACTAACTTGAAAAATGCCCTGGGCACAGGTGTGATCCGTGGCCAGAAGAGTCCTGGGTACCTCTGAGCAGCCTCCCTGCTCACACCACCTCCCTCCTCCCCTGTGTCTGCAGCTCCTGCTCCATGCCCTACGCTCACTTATGTTGCAGATGTACCTCAATGCTAACACAGCGGCTTGCTAACAGCTTTGCTCTCTGTCCTCAGGGAAGACTCAAAATTGAATTTGTAGCAGTGACAGCACTGGTTTAAGATAAACCAGTTGG